TTATGATAAATGTTGTGGAAGTCATGCTGAGAATTCACACTTTGTAAGTCTGAGTGATGTGGCTTTGCAGGGTTATACAAGAGTTTGTTTATATGAGCTTGGCTTCTGGGATTTACTTCTGTCTGAACGCAGCAGCAGTAGGAAATGCTACTGCTCAGGACCTGAGGCCTGTCTACTCTTTCTATCCTTACTGCACTGTGGAGGAATGCACCTCACTATCTTGATCTGAATTTTTGGTCAAGCTCAAGATGTTTCATATATATAGATGTATAGCATATTATGGAATACTTTTGGTCTTTGGGAGTTGGCCGTGGAATTTATTTTATTTCTTTCATGTGCTTTTTGAAACATGAAAGCTGGGCAGAGCCAAACTCTGGATGTGGCACTAGTGGCATGGTACATTGTAATCTTCTCCTAGGTCATCACCACGACCAAGGCCAGATGTAATTTGTTCTCAGCTTCAGGCTGGACCCAGCCTGCAGACTTCTTGTTTTTCTTTTCCAATCTAATTCTGACTTTATGAGTTGTTTATTTAGCATAATTTCTGCTAATGGAAACATATAGGAGATGGGTGACCTCCATCCATTCTCTATGCCTGCATCCACCCCGGTAGTGTGCTTCTTGGTCTTGTGCTTGTATGGTCTTACAAGCCATAAGCACAGGCAGTGGATGTAGAAGGGATGTGCTCTTCAGCCAGCCAGTTGTCATGGATGTTTGGGACTGCAGGAAAATGAGTTATCATTGGCTTTTACGTTGCTTTTCCTGCATGAATTTGCCTTTGTAGACAGAGCGTGTCTGTCTCAGTTCTCTGTTGTTTGTGAACTTTTCTTCTAACGATGAGAGCAGAGAAAAGTCTCATGAACTCCTTAATGCTGATTCTTACTGATAGATAGAACAGTGACATGAAAGCTCAAACAATCCTTGCCAATATCCAGAAGCTTTTACAAAATAAAATGAGGAGTGAATGAAGAGCTTAGTTGCAGCACAGCAGCTGCACCAACCGCTTTGCAGACTGTCCCCAAACTGCCTGTTTATGATTTAGCTTAATCCACAGTTTCATAAACACGGAATGGTTTGATGGTATATGCTCCTAATATAGACATCATTGAAGTAACGCAAATACAATTTCTAGACAGCATTGTAACCTGATTATGGAGAGAAAACAAACGGATCCATACACAGTGAAGCCAGCTAGTGTGATATAAAGTACTACTAATTTCACACTGTATTCCTGTTGTAGCACTTTAGCATGCTTTCTCATGGACATAAAATGATTTCTCTCACGATGTAATGACAGGATGCTTCCAGTGCATTGCCCTGGATTGTGCAAGTTGAGTTGCATTAATAGTATTTCCCTGTTTTCCGTGTCGCTACTCAAGAGTTTCTATTTCTTCTTGCTGAGAAGGGAAATGAGACCCATGGTGCTTCAGGCAGTAAATTATAAATGAGTAGCATGATCGTCTGTAACTTCGACACAAAGGTCAAAGGAATTTTTTTTGTATTTTTTCTGTGTTCTTTAACTGGATCGTCTTTGATGTCTATGCTGCACATACATCATGATCATTATATCCCACACTCTTGCATCATTAATGTAACTACAAACGAGATGGCTCAAGTTATGAACAACTAGTGCTTCAGTCTAATGCATACGGATATGAAGGAGGGAAATGAGCTAAATAAAAATACTTATTGAAGAGATTGTTCCCTGGTGTAAATGCGCTTAAAGGGAGTAGGACTAAATGAGAGGGTACTGCTCCTTTCTGGAGTTATTTTCCGACACAGTAAGTCTTTGTTCATTGATTTGTAAAATAAGAGAACATTCTGGGGTAAAATAAAGAATTTGAAAAATCTTCCAGCAATATTTCGTTTTATGCCTACTTACTGCATGAAATTTAGCTAGTAACAGCTTTCTTTAAATTGTATGTTGTGCATTCAAAAATGATTTCTGTGCATAGACTGGAAAGCTGCAAAATTCCCTGGGAAAGTCTCAGTGCTTTCAAACAATGGAGACATAGGTTTTGTTTGTGGGATACAACAGAGCAATGTGTTAACTTTATTTGAAAAGTTACTCTCTTACAGAAGGTTTGTATAGGTATGCTCACTCCACAAAAACCCCTCACCTCTTCAGGTGCTAACTTACTCTCCTTTTTGACATGCCAGCAGTGGCATGTCAATTTTTGATGCCAGATGGAGAGAGGTTAGCTGCAGAAGCACTTCAGGAGCACCTGGGTACCTGGGACAGGTGACCAGATGTCATCCTGGCACACACTGTGAGCCAGACACTGCTGGGACAGCCATTTTGATTGAAACTAGGTGAAACTAGACAAGTGCTAAGTTTAGATACATCTGCAAATAAGGGGCAGTGGCTGGTAAAACCTTATTATAGTGGAATGATTGCAAAATTAGTCTCTTTTCCCCCCAGATGCACTAATTTTTAATATACTTCACAAAATGGGTTTTATTTGCAATGAAAATATTTTAACTCTGGAGTCCAGTTACCAAAAAGTCTAAGGTGTTTTAAATACAAGAGCATTGCAGAAGGCTTTTAAGATCCTTCCAAACCATTTTGCAAAGATTATGGTTTGGAATTCCAGATCAATTTAGATCTTGGAGTCTTTGTTTTTTGAAGCAAGAATAATCAAAATGGTGACTGCATTTCAAAAAAACTCATTTTGCATGCAGAGTAACAACTCTTTAATAAGAAATTTTACTGCAGCATCTTAATGTGCAGTTTTATTGCCTATTATTTTTAGCGAGCATTTTTAAAGCCTTATGTTTGGGGTTTAACACCTTAGCTATTTCCCATCATAACAGGTTGAAATTTGGCATAGCAGTGGCAACCCTCATTTCAAATTTTTCACAGAAAATTGTAAACACCAAATTGCTAATTTGTAAAGATTTTTAGATTCCACACTTTGAAGCCTGTCAACTTAAATGTCAAATAATATGACATCCATATGGACCATTAGATCAATGATAGTGTAGGACCAGAGCTGCCTCAAAGTGCACATCCTGTAGTGACACCTTTGAAGTTCTTGAACAGCCAAAAATTAAAATAAAATTAAAAAAAAAAAAAAAAAAAAGTATGGTAGGAAAGGGCAAGACAGCTAAAACTGTCTTTAAAAAATCCTTCATTCTGTCAGTTTGGAAAAGTTCTGAAACTTCAGTTTCCAAGTTGTAAACATGATGCTGTGGCAGAGGTCTGATTTTAAGCCAGCTTCAGAGTTAGCATGTTTTGAACTCTAGAAGCACAACCAGAGTGCTTCTCATTGGGTTTTATTGGGGCAATATTCTGGTTGATGTTAATTTTATCTTTAACTGTAGGATGTAGTCCAAATAGAACATATTATTTTTCTCTCCTTGTTACCAAGTAATAGTCCAAATGTATTTCACATATTCTTTTTCTGTTTAAAACTTTTGGAGTTCATGTATTGTGTCATTGATATTAGTAGTATGTTGTAGTAACATATAGTATTTAGAGTCTACAGTGAAATGTCCTATGGATATTATACACTGCATATTAAATATCTGGAATATCTTTTATGATTCACATCATCAGTAACTGAGTCACTTGGGCAGAAGCTGCAATATATTTTATATTGGGCATATTCATTTTGGCAATATAATATCTCATTTGAAATGAATGTATATTGCACTATTGATTTTCATGGGTCTTAGAATAGTAAAAGCATCACAACAATAAAAAAAATCCATGCTTTTTTGTTTGGATGCAGCACTCAGAGCTGTTCATAGAAGTAAACATAAAACTGAAGTTATACAGAAATATGAAGTACTTTATTTTACACTATGCAGTATTCATAAAACAAGTCTTTAACTCAAATGTGGTCTTCATTCTGTAGAGCTAACCTCTTCTAGGCACACTGCAAAGAAACGTTACTGCTTTAGAGAGAGGCAATGCCTTTCTATTTCCTTGTTTACTTCCAGAAAGGCTGATCTACTATGAGTTTTACTTATAGTTTTTTCTGTTAGAAATTTTGAACACTTGCCAGGGTTCATTCCTAACAGCTCTGCTACCCAGCATAGAGAAAAATGAGTAGAATGTTTGAGAGAAATGTCTGTATGTCCATCCCTGGCAATTTTAGATGGTCAGAAAGGCGTCAGAGGTGGCAGCTTCCTAATATTGTAATAGTATTGATGTATGGGAAATTTCAAGTAATACTGACATGATTAGTCACCGATATTACCATCTAAGATGTACAATACCAAATGGAGATGGGAAGAGAAAATTCTTGGATTTGCAATATTGACTTCATCTGCAGCATGGGGAGCTTCAGTGCATCCAGCTGCTTCAGCCATTTGTAGTGATATCCTTGAATGTATTTAAAAAAATAAATAAATAAATAAATAAATATATATATATATATAATAATCTAATGCCACCTTAATTTAAAAGCTTGGATAAATGATATTCAAAGTAAATTTTTTTTTTCTCCCCTGGAGATGACCTAAAAAGTCTTATTCTTTTGATTAAGTAGGTTCATTTTTTTTGAATAATATGCTCAGTTCAAGAGAAGAAAAGTTTATTCCAGGGCTCACATTGTAAGGTAAAAGCAATGCCTGCACAAACTTCCTACTGAGCCCCTGTTGGCCATCTGCTGCCCATCACTCACCTTTGCTTGGTGGGACGAAGTCAGATTTTATAGCACTTTTTAAGTTCTAATGTTCATTAAAGTAGGTTTAAGGAGGTTAAGCTTAATGCTTTGGAACAAAACAGAGGAAATATTTCTGTTCTATTTTTCATTTTGTAAAATGAATTCAGACAAAATGGGTATTGTCAGGAATCAATAGTTAATTTGAAAGATGTGGTACATTTTATCATTCATTGTTAAAGAGAAATTTATAGACAATAAAATTGTTTTTAGTTTTTCCTATTTATAGAATGTATTGTGTTTTTATGCTATTATTGCAATTATAATGTATTATTAGAAATATATTTCTTAAGCATTAGATTGCTAATCATTTACCTTGCAAAATTTTAGGTTAATTGGCTGGTGGGGTCATGACTTCAAAACACGATTCCTCATGGAAAACAGTATGTACTTTTACACTTTCATTTACCTGATTTGACATATTTATATACAGCCAGCATAGTTTTTACAGAATTTTGAGTAGGAAGGATAGACCTTTGTGCTTTCATGCTTACATTAAAGATATTAACCTAAACTCATCCTAAATATGTAATAGAGTGGCGTCAATAAAATAAATGGAATAAATTAGGTCTCTGAGCATATGGGTCTGACTGTCTGTTTCCAGACATTTTGCTGACAAGATGCAGTTGTAGACTATGGATGGAAGTTTTGAATTTTTTTAAACTCATAAGCTCTGAGGAGTGAGATTCTGTTATTCACATGGGTAAACGTGAATCTTAGATATCTTACTTTGGGATTAGTTCCACTGGAATTAATGAGAAATGGTAAAGGCGCCTGACATAAGTTGTGCAATAGCTCTTGTGTTTCAGCATCTTTAAATCCTTTGCACTAATGATGGAGGGAATATAAGACAAAACCAAACCTGCTCTGAAATAATAACAGTATTTATTGTCCCAAAGCACAATAAGAGATGAGGACTGTTTTCTAAATCTGCCAGCTATAATCTTCCTCTTCTTTTAAGGATATGGCAGAGAGACAACCCTGAGGGATCAGGAGGAAGAAAGGATCTTTTTGTTTTGATCAGTTGTTTTGGTTTCAGTATATTTCTAATTTTCTGTGGCAGCCCCTACTGATGTGACTTTGGCTGGTGAACACCTCTCTAATAGTTTCAGTGTGGTCTTTGTTTTCTGACCACATGTAAGAGTGGCTTTATGGAACCCCAGAAGGGGACACAAATTACCTTGAAATACTGTTTGAAGAAGAAGAATGTTGCTTATTCATTTCCACAGACAGTTGCGAGGCAGAAGTTGGGCAATAATCATTATAAAATTAGCCAGTCTGCTGTGCATGAAGAGCATTTCCTCCACAGCATCCTCTTGCTCTGGTGCTGAAGCATGAAATATAAATGATGACACAGAACTTACAGCAAAGCTTTATGGCTTTATTAAATGGATTTTGTGAAATTTCACAGCCTAAAGTCTATGCAACTTCGATACGTGGCCTGAAGCTACACTTAGCTGCATATGCAGTCTCCCACGTGTCTCGTCAGTTTAATAAAGTCAAGGAACGTGATTCCCTGATCATGCACCGTGGCTTCTCATGAGCATGCCTCTGCTGACTTGGAATTTCTCTGGTTTATGCCAGTGGTAAAAGAGATTCAAGTGTAAAGGTGGTTTTAACACACACCATTTAAACAAATTAATTGCAGTTCTCTAGTTCCCATGAAGCCACTAATGAGGTCTTTCGCTGGATAAAATTGGGCTTCTCTCGAAGTTAAAAGTATTAGCTGTGAATAGATTACTATTTCCTTTTAATGAGCGATTCCTACAGGCCACGTTAGTGAAATATTTTATTGCATGAGGATGGACTTCAAGATAAGGTCTGATCCATTAAAAGGAAGAAATCAAAAACACTAATATAAGTTATTCATTTTCCAGAATTACAACTAAGCGAAGGAATTAATGGATTTCGGTTATCAAATCCTCCAATTTTACTGGTCTGTGCTCTGCAAGCTAGTTTAGAGGTAAGTAATTGCTTTATTTTGAGCCTGAATTTAAGAGTATAAAATGTTAAAAAAAAAAAAGTTATGGATTTTATTGCTGTGTCCCTTAAAAATAAATAAAATCCATAAAAGATAAAAAGCCAAAGGAATGAAAACAACAACAACAAAAAACACAAGAAACCAAGACTTGTAAACTCGAACTCATTCTTTTACTGTTCTCACAAATTTTGCTGTCATATTTAGGATCCATGAAGTTTGCATCTTCAGCTTTTGGACAGAGCTCAGCATTGGGCTTTTAGAGGCTCAATGCAAAGGGCAGCTTTTCCAATACAGACATTCAGAGCTTGCCTCTCTGCAACTTGTGTGAAGGACACTGATAGAGACTTTCCTAGGAAGGAATTGTGTAACTCTGGAAGGCTGCATGGAGAGTTGCTTCTACTTGTATTTCCCTGTGCCAAACAGACGAGCTCTTTTATGAAAAGCAGATGGGGCTACTGGGTGTCCTCGAGTCCAACAGAACCGATGTGAATGTCATCCACTGTAGTCCCTTCCATCACAAACAGAAAAGACAAAAACTGTCTGTTAATGCTTCCTAAAAGGACAATTCATGAATGTGCTGTGGATCTGGACTTTTGCCTTTCATCTCTTCATTAGTTTTCTGGTGACCACAGGCACAGAGCCTCACATGTATCCAGGCACAGAGTTTCTCTTATGGGAGGTTCACACCTGAAATGCTGGACTTCTGGTATTTGGGGATGAAAATGATGGTTGTACACAGACCTCCCTGTAGTAATTTTTTTCCTAAGCTGCTTTTCAAGCCAGCCTTGGTTAGCGTGGTTTTGCAGCAGCATAATGAGAGGAATTTATTTCTGCCAGCATTCCATTAATGTTAGTGTAACAGCAAAGCTGATGCTGGTACAAAGAGCAATGTCTGTACACTGTACATCCCTCTTCTTTATTTACTGAAAAAACAGTATTTTAAGCAAACAAAGTTAGAAAATTGCCAATTGTGCTCTCACCAGCTTACATGCAATGCTGAAGGACTGCAAAGGGCACAGCAATGCGTCTTATTCTGCCTGACAATTTATTTTGTTAGTCCTTAAACATCCAATATATTTTTAAACTTTATGTGACCTTCGAGATAAGCTGAAAGCTATTCTGCTATGACCCAGATTGTTAGTGCTCCAGTTTGTGCGGGTTGATGTCATTTAGCCCACTGCAGGGAGCCTCAAACAATGAGGGCTGAGCAGTTTCCATCGCCTCCCCTTTCCATGCCTGCATTACCTTTTGGCACAGCCAGGATTTCCCAGTGCTAATTGCTCTAATACAGTGGGAAACAAAATAGTTTTCATGTCTGGCAAGAGATGGCTAGTGAAATTGCATGCCACCTTCACTGGGACACATTAAACAGAAGGCAGTGTTTCCAATGGAAACAATGAAAACTGCAAGTGTTAATGCATGTTATTCCTCAATAACGCTTAAAGTGACTGTTATGGCAGTAGCTGCTCCCTTTTATGGAAAAAAGGGGAGCGCTCCACAGCCCCATTTAAAAGATCTTTTTCCCAAATTTCACCCAGGAGGCCAAATATTCCTTGTGCAAAGCCTGAGCAAACAGATTTTTGTGTGCAGCCTAAGGAGCTTCATCCCTCACACTGCTGCAAAGCCCAGAGGAATAGGAGACAGGTCTCCATTTTACCTCCGGTAACAAGCTAAATGGTCATGTGCGCACTCTGCCAGCCTGCATGGTGAGGGAAGCATCTCTGCATTTTTGTTGACCTGTGCAAGTAATAACTGCTGGTGAGAACTCTGGTCCCTTTCACATTCGTTTCTGTGGCTGCAAAGTCTGTCTTACAGCAGCCATATTTTGTTAGCTCAGAATAGAGAAAGGAAAGGTAGGGGCTTTTGATTTTGATAAATTCCAGATGCTTCTGGAAACCAAACTTTGTTGTATTTGGAGTGGAACTTCTTAGTTACCTCTTTATTCACTCTTTGGGGTGTGTATGAAGTAATTATCTGTGAGTATACCAATAATGTTAAAAGAGTGTCTTCTTCGGTCAGGAGCAGTGATGTTCTGAGAGGTATAATCATGGATTTTTGTGCAGGACCTCAGACTTGCCTTTGATTTTGCAGCTGCAGTAAGCAGAAGTATGATAGTCTTAGAAGCTATATCACAACTATGTGCTGCAATCTGATTTGTAGAAATGGTCAGGTACTTAGATGTCTATATTCTCTTGCTTTTTCCCTGCATCTACTTGCAAGGGAAAAGGAAGGGCTTGGGGAAGGCAGGGATTAGTTGTTTCCAGGTCACATTTTCCATTGTTCTCTGTAATTGAGCCTTTCCATAAGTACAGGCAGGAGAGGAGCAGGAGCTTCCTGGCCCTTTCCCCTTCCCAAACTGTTGTGCCACATTGTTTGTACTTGTTTGTCTGACAAAGCAACTGCAATGCTTAAGCAATCACTTTTTCACATTTCATGATGTTCTAACATACTATTTTTTTTTTTTGAGCTCACCAGTCCTTGTAGCTAAATGAAAGCACAGAGCTATTAAATTTGAATCAATTTTTTTCTTCATATGAACTAGCAAAGACAGAATTTAAAATACTTCCTGTTCAGTAGGTAAAACAGTAAATAAAAACTAATTTTCTGTCTTCAAAAGTAAGTTTGTAGATTAGTCATGTTTGTAAAGCCTTTGGCTTTACCTGAGTCACAAAAAAATTGTATGTGATTTTTGTTTGATGCAGTCCTGTTATATGTATAGAAAATTTATGGATCACCTTCAGATATGCAAATGGATGCTCTCTTAGGAAACTGTTTTTTTGTGCAAATTCATTTATGTTTAGATGTGTATAGAAATCCTTAACAGCAGACAGAATTGTCTTTCATTATCTAAAAGTAATAATGTCCTGTGTATCCGAAAGCCATATTTTGTGATGTGTATGTACAGTATCTATCTGATATTAGCACTTGGTTTCAAAGGTAGTATGTATGGAGAAATCTGCTACCTAGCAAAATAAGAATGAGAGAGTCAAGTCCCCAAGTTACCAAAACTATCTAATTTATTTGAAAAGTCAGAAATGGCCTTGATCATCTTTGCTCTCTTTATATTTTCTGTAGCAATGCATTCCATAATAACGATTTAAAATCATTACAGGTTTTTGGTCAAACTACAATGAAAGCATTGAGAAGAAAATCTATTCTGCTTACTGGGTACTTGGAATACCTGATAAAACATTACTACAGTGAGGATAAAACAAATCCAGAGAAGCCCTTTGTAAAAATAATCACACCACCTCGGGTTGAGGAAAGAGGATGCCAACTCACATTATCTTTTTCCCTTCCAATCAAGTCTGTGTTTAAAGAGCTGGAGAAGAGAGGAGTAGCTGTGAGTAAATCAAACTTCATCTTGTTCACTGTTTTGTGAGCATATGCCATACCAAAATAATCATTTGCCTTTCATTCATGTATAATCTCATATAAGGCCAAAAAAGACTTGGAAGGATGAAAATTGCTTACGTAGCAGCTATGATCTTTAGCTGCACAAATGATCAAGCAAGTAGTGCTATTTTATAAATTATTTGTTAGTCTTCAGGTGGTCCTTTCTCTATGGATTAATTTCCTATATTCTGTGAGTGCCACCCAGCAGTCACTGCTGAGGGGTAAAGCTGCTTTCGTGCTGCATGATAGTGCAAGCATTACAGATTTGAAGGACAAAGGAGAAAAACTGGAAAAACAAAAAATGAGCATGTCAGAAAAACAGAAATTTGCACCTGAAATGTGAGGTCCCAGGCCCATTTGGCAGCTCCTCACTTATTTGCCCTCCAGCAGTGAGCAGAGCTCAGGTGGCCCCACAGCTCCTATGCCTACAGCCCGGTACTAGCAAGGAGATCTCAGCCTCCTCATTCCCTTTCATGAACTGCTCTTCACAAGGCATCAGGCTGGCCGAATTAAAATGGTGTCATGTCCTTAAAGGTGTGTTTTAGTGCTTGAGAAAAAGAGGCCACTGACTGGTGGTGCCACATAACGGCATGGTTACTGGTGTCAGTGCTGCTCAAAACCTATAAAAGCTAAATTTAAGATTATACATTTGGTGACTTAGAAGGTGAGGCTGATAACGTAATGCCATATAAATGATATATGAGTTTTATTTCTGCTGGTGACTCATGTTCCCAAAGGGCAGCTCTTATAGGCAAAATATGCTGCTGTTTTGGTGCTGCCAGGGAATTCCAGGAACTGCTGCTTTTAAGAGGGCACAGGGCCTTATGCTGTTGGCTTGTCTTCACAATGCAGTAGTGTGCTTCAAATATGAGAGATTATTCTATTCAGCAAAATGTTTAAATTCACAGAGGAGAGAAAGAAAACTACTGCAAGCCCTGTGGCATTACTTGTATCCATAGAATAAGACACCCTATCTTACTGGGAGGGACGTTTCTATTTTGCAATGGTGTTTCTCTTACCTGTACACCTCGTCAGCCATGGGTTGCTGTAGGTTCCAGGATACACCGTAAATAAATTACAAGGGTGGATAGCTAGTTCTGAGCCATTGAATGGTGCTACCAGAGTCCTGCCTGTCCCAAACCTTGCATCCTTTTTTATTGACCGCACACCACTTTCCTTGCTATATTCTTCACAATAATGCTCCTCAAGGTAGTTTCTTTGGTGTCCCAAAGCTTTCACATATGTCTGCATAAATACTGTTCTTCCTCGGTGTAACTCTGTGAAGACAAGGATGACACTTAAAAATATGGCTTAACAAGTAAATTAGTGACCTGAATTTACTAATCATTCCCTTTCTATTTTGCAGTGTGACATGCGAGAACCAAATGCTCTTCGCGTTGCCCCAGTTCCTCTCTACAATTCTTTCCATGATGTGCACAGATTTATTGAAATCCTGGGATCTGCAATTACATCTTCAAAACAAACAGCAAACAATACTGCGCTATCTGGTTCTTATTGATGGCTCAGCTGTATCTTTTAATCTATTTCTGACTAAGATGCATTTATCCCGCTGAGCGATTCCTTGCTTCGAGTAGACTAAGCTATATCCCATGCAATTTGCAAAAAAATGACTGTGCTTGAATAGTTATTTACAACAGACATAGTTTTATTAAAGCTCATATTTCCACTCTGCTTTGACTTTGACTTCATGAATTAGTATGCTTTGTATATTTTAATGGGGTTTTTCTTAAACATTTTATGTAGTTTTATTACATTAGCTTTGAGAAGCATGGAAGAATTGCTATCAACTAGAATGAAAAAAAAAAATCCCTTCTTTATTGTAAAAATGATGCATAATAAAAAGTGGAAAATAGACAAATCACTAACAGTTAAAAGATACAGTCCAATTTACATTTTTAATTTATCAGTCCTATTTAAAGTACGTGGTTTACTAGAAGACTGAAGTTGAACAATTAGTTGTTTAAAAATTGCTGCATACTGACTTTTTCAAAGGGCCCCCAAATTTGGTTAATTAATGATATAATTGAAGAATGACTTTACACTACAGATACCTTCTTTCCTGTGATACAGCTGCCTAAACCAATACATCTTCTCTTTATATTTCTAGGTAGTCATTTTGAAGATGATAGTCTTGAGAAAGCCGAGAACGATTTTAAATTCATGTGACCCAGTGTGCTGCATGAGCACTTACCAAGGTTTTAACAAGGCTTATTTCGGATTAGGCAAAATGAACTCTGGATTGTTTCAGCAGCAGCAAAATATCCCACTGTTAACTTAGTGTGGCCCAAATTTTTAGAGAGATTTGCACTAAACAGCTAGGAGCAGTGAAGAAAAACTGCTTACATTTAACCAACGCTTTATCCAGAGTAGTTTTAAGACATAAATAAACCTCAGTGTACTTGGCTACTGAACACCTAAATTTCTCGCTATTCAGCATGTACCTTTTTCTTCAAGAATCAGCTATCTGTAAGCCTTTCTTTCTGATGATTATTGGTTTGATACACTTAGAAAATTACTGTTGGTAGTACTTTTTATTCCACTCTAAGGAAAAAGGAAGAAATTTGGGCTACTCCAAAATGTTTTGTCTCAGCGGCATTTTTGCAGTTTGAGGTTCTTGCACTTTTTGAGCATCTCCCAGTGTGTATTGGGGCTCCTGCAGGGGGGAAACATTTGCAGTGTCTGCCTGCCCTCTAACATTCACTAAAGAAGGGTAGTTTTAAAAGACCTGACACAATAATACCTATTTCATCAGTTGTAGCATGTAGAGGAAAACTGAAAGGACTGCAAATAAAGCATTAGTTGGTATTTTTAGCAACTATGAAAAGTTAGAAGAGCTTCTTACACGAGAATATTGTTATAAAGAAAAGCACAGGAGTCTTAATCACTGGGAAAGCTCTGGCTCACTCAAGAGGTTTTGATTGCATTGACGTCATCTGTCCTTGATTCAGCTGAGACTGTGCCATTGTGTTGCAGACCAGGTATCTGTGTTTCAGTAGCTGGGGTTTTATTTTTGTATGTACATCTGCAGCACAGCTACTTTCATCTGCTAAGTGACACAATTTTAGAAAAGGACAATTTTCCATAACGTGACTGTTGATGAGAAAAACACCAAATATGAAACTGTGACAGTCCATAGTAGTGAAAAGTAGTTTATTTCACTGCCAGTACCTTTCAAGCACTTGTGCTTCTACTCAGCTCTGGCTACCACTCACGTAGGTCTTTACTGTAAAATTAAGCAAGCTTTATATAAATCCAGATGTCACACTAGTCATATTATAAAATACCTTATTTAGATTTCAGCTGCACTTTGGTTGTGAGGCAAACCCAGGAAGAGTAAGCACATCCAAATCCCTTTCTAAATAGCACCTAGACATCAAGTTTGGACAAGCTTTATTGGATGTTATGGGGAGATAAATGGTGAATTTACAGGTTTCAGCCTGGCAAAGCAGTCTGGCATCTGCATTAAATTCACTAACTGAAAAATCCTTGTATCTCTGATTGTGGAAAGTGAACAATGTAGGGTAGGTAAAATGCTTCCTGAATCTAGACAGTCTGGTTCTTGAGAGGTATATTATTAATAAAAAATCATTAATATTTTGTCCTTCAGCAACACTTTAGGTTACAGGCAGAGAGGCTTTAAATATATATATATATATATATATAAGTGTTTTGTATGAGGGATTTCATAAAAACGAGTCAGTCAAAATTCACAAATTTCAACTTTGCTGAGTTACTTTTTCGTTTACCTACGAGCTGTGAAAATAAACATAAGACTCCTTGCTTTTATATGCATTATACATAAATTCAGAAAATGTTTTCCTTGAAGTGAGGAGAATGAAACAAAATGACAGCATAAGCACTAGTTTTACATGTTCTTTCGTTAGTTCTCGTAAAGTTTTGCAAAATGAATAATACTGAAAGTTAACATTAGGTGTCAGTATTTTACATATTATTTAGTGAGAGAATATCAAGTGAAAGAGATTCAGTACAAAAAGAAAATAGCCTGCTTTTTCTAATGCTCTAAGTTATCACAGTTAGAGTAATATCAGGAATAATTATGTGTGAAATAATTAATTGTATATACCCTAAATGTTTCCTGGTGGTTACATCTCTGATTTAAAATTCAGCATTAAGTACTACCGCTTTCTAATTGTGCTAACATTGAGTTCTTGGATTGTCTGAAGAAATTACATTTTTCAAATTAAACTGCAACACATGAGTGTCTGTAGATGACAGAAAATTGATACCTAGGTAGAATGAGAAAAAGTCTGAAAAATACAGATAAACATGACTATATAGATCCCTGGTTTTATGTGATCTTTTTCAACACAATATAATACTGTACAGATCTCTTAAATTCATTGTAACCCTTAAAAAAAACAAAAGGAGGGGAAAGGGAGTTGGGGGGAAGGAATACTATTTTTGCATTTTTTTACTGTGTTTTGGCAAAGGAAGACTAGAAAAAAAGACAGTCCTCTTTCCTAAGGGGAAAATGATGGTTTTGTTTTCCAAAAGAACAATATACTTTGAGTGAAGAAAAAGGTATAGAAGTTATTTATTTATTTATTTATTTATTTATTTATTTATTTATTTATTTATTTATTATTTTTTGAGGTTTGTTGCATGATAGAGAATGAGATGGTATCATTTGAAGAAGTGAAGATGTAAAATAGTGGGAGTCCTTAGTCTGACTACTTCAGAATCCACTCTGCTTTCATTTTATCAGCACAGTATTAGCAAGAAGAAGATGATAGATTAAACAAAAATGAAAAGAGAAAGAAAGGTGTGTGTATATATATAAATATATATATATAATATATATTATATATATATATATATATATATATATATATATAAATAAATAAATAAATAAATAAAAACTTGGCCCTAAATGTGTTGTCTAGAGGGAAAAAAAATATGGAAAATAATGAAAGAAGTAATTAACTTTTTACGCTATGTTATGTTGTTACAGTTTTGTTCCCAAATACAGCAAGGCATAGGTGGGAATTACCCATGAAATGCTAGTTTAAGAGGTAGGGATAGGTCTCGCTTGTGTCCATAAAGCTGAAAAGAGACATCTATTGCTAAATCCCCAAAGGGGCTCTGCAGGATTTGCAGACATCAAAGCGGTGGCAGCAATATAATGAAGACATGGCCAAAGTAGGTAAGTTATTACATATATTCACTTATAAACCCCACTTTTAGTTCCAGATCCAATCAACATGTCATGATCTGACTTGTTTAAGGGTGAGCTGACCTGCTCAGAGTCCCTTAAAAATCTCAGTAGGTTCCCATCCGAACCTCTGAGCAAGTGAGCTGATGAAACTATGTTTCTGAAAAGCTACTCACACTTTATGACTAGCTGAGAGATAGTTTTGCATCATAAACCTAAACTTTTGTCAATATTTGTGAAATATATTTAGAAAGCTTATTCAGAAATGAGTAAGTTATAGATCAGTAATTTATACTTTTTTATATTCCAAGTTTTATTACCTAAACTTACTCTTCTAAGCAACATTTTATGTTTCTAGTTAAATATAAGTGAGAATTGATTGGAGCATTTCTCAATGGAATTCTATCTTTATTTCATCATAATTGCTTCATATTTGAATAATGACAGATGAACTACTTCATTCAATTGCCGTTTTAAGGCTTTGAAGTCACAATAGCAGCAAAGGATTTAAATCCTGAAGCCATTATTAAGTCAGAGAAGACATCAGGGAAAAGAAAAACTTATGGTGGTGTAATTTTCTAGACAGAAAAATGCTTCTGCAGTTGCACTTTTTTTCTTTTATCCTTTTTTTCTTTCTTTCTTTTTCTCCTTCTTCATCTGGACATTTTGCTGTTGTTAAGAGGATCCACCAAACTTCAACAAAATGAAATGGCCACAAGTTCTAGCAAAACAAATGGCTTCTATCCACCCTGGAAGAAGACATTAGAAAAGCTGAATGAGAGTCCACACTCTAAGTAAACTTCTGTAGTTATTTTGTTATGGAGCTAGCTACAAATCATTTAAAATTCTAGGCAGCTGCAATACTGTATTTCACCAATAAAGAGTTCATTAGATCTTTTTTCTCTCTGACATTTACATCGAGTCCTGCGTACATGTTAATACTCCAAGGTATGAATTTCAAAGTTCCCTTTATCTTTGTGTACAGTTTTAAGCAATTAATCAAGTGATAAAAAATAGCTTTAAAAATATGAAACGAATCATGAATTTAAAGTATATGTTCAAAAAAGTTGCTATATTATAATTTGTGGGGGACAGGGCCTCTTATCATCTGAGCTAAGTGCAGTTCTTTTTAAAAAAAAAAAAAAAAAAACAAAAAACAAAAACCTTTTTATTGAAAGATTTTAAAGAGATGATCAAGTTGTTAAAACATGACCAAGTTTTATATCCAAGATAGTTATTTCTCCTAGGAGGCTACATCAAAGTGGAAGACACACAGAAATTTTTTGAATTTTATTTAATATGTTTAAAATTACTCCCATGTGGGGCAAGATTTATATAGACTTCTGAAATAAGCATGGGGCCAAACAGCTCTGAAAACCTTTCATTTGAAATAAAAACAAATAGCAGTCTTACCATCACAGTGCCAGATGTAAATATAAAGATCTATAGGAAAACTTTTCCAACTCTTTCTTTGTAACAGAGCACACACTAGAGATGAC